TGTCATCACAAAATTCCAAAAATATTCTTGAGGTTATTCATACTTTTTAAAGTAGTATAGATTTTTACTAAAAACCAAAGCATGGGCGATTAGGCGTGAATTGGTGAACTGCCCAGAATGTGTCCAACCCATAAACTGTTTCAACAGCTTATGCTGTTGGGCCCCAACAACCAAAATTAACCCGGCTAATGGCAGTGCACGCCACCGAGTCCCGGGTGAGATGGGGACACATGGTGAATGTCAACTGAGCCTAGCTAATCGCTAAGATCAGTACCAATGGCTAATGGTGGTGATCTTAGCTAATGTACCAATGTCCTTTTTATCTTGGGGTATTTGACCTTCATGTGCACAATTTGGTTGGTTAGTACAACTCGTCCAACTCATCAAGACAACTCATCTACTATTGATCCATCTCATCTCCAGCAACACCATGGCATGAAATAAAATCTCTTATTACTATTAAATGATTGAATTTCGTTTTCAGGCCCATTCGTTTTTTGGTAAATTATTTATTTGGGTAAATGCACTTATCCAGATAAGTTTTTTTTAAGTAAGCGCATTTACCTAGGTTCTTTTATTTTCTATGTAAATAAGACAATGACCATTTTAGCCATAAAAATTTATTATTAAAGGATATTTTTGTCTCATTTAAGTATTGATAACTTTTCTTCAGGTGAAAAAATTATTTATCCACGTAGAAAATGGGTATCACTTATATGAATAAATGATACCTATAAAAAATTTCCCATATAAATCTAAAAAAAAGAACATAACATTATTTATCAATGAGAATCAAAATACTATTAACCAATTTTTTCACTCTCAAAATTTAGAAAAAAAAACACGACCCCTTGACATTTGCCGAAATAATATTTTGTGGCGGTGGGAGTGGTACCACATGGACAAATGGGTAAACGAACCTCACACGTACAGTACTGTGTTGAATCGTGATGGTGATGGAAGCCTGAAAGACAAAGCGTATCTTCTCCCATTCACAGGCCCCCGACTCCTCATCACTTGACCGACTCCAAAGCTAGAGCTTTCCTGAACCCCCCATCTCTATCAACATATATATTCAAACTAAACCTGTCTCATTCTCGGCGGAATTCCGGTACATAGAAATAATAGAACCCTGTTTTTAAAGTTTTGAAATTTGTGAAAAGGGTTACGTAATTTACGTGGCACTTTTAGTTGTCGGTGCAACATGACAAGGGAGGAGTCCAATGTCTAAATAAATGGGTTATGGGGGTAAGTCTCTAATGTTCTCAGTTTCGTGCCTTTTTTTCTTAGATTTCTTACCACCTGTCCAACGTATTAGACCTTGCAAAATGTCTGACCCAATCCCAAAATAAAGCTGGTTAGGACTTAGGACTTGGGATCCCTTGCCCAGTGACCCGAATTAAGTAGAAGGCAGCCTCACCCGATCCGATGTGAAGGGAACTCAGGCCGGATCGGATTGGATCACTGGATGCTGGTCATAACCTTTTGAATATTCAAACAGTTAAACCCGTATTAATTGTTTTATAAAAAAATGGTTGACTTGGTTAAAGGATAATTAACTCAGACGGTTAAATCATTGACTTATTTTACTTATTAATCAACCTTAATTTGAACATTTAGGGTTAGGACTTATAATTTAAAGATCTAACCTAAAATGTCTTGGAAGATGATTTGACCCGAGATGAACACTACCCGATTGTAAAGTCTACCATTGTATATTTGAGATGAGACCAAAGGGGCATCCCACAATGCTTCACAGCACATCTCCACTGTGTATTGAAAACATCTTCCTATAATGTATTAAAAATGATTTGAGATCTCAATAATGTTATGCGGTAGCGTTCTTGTTCATACAGCCACACTTTTTTTTTTTTTTTGGTATTTAATCATGTACCTGGATCCTCATAAAGGCCATAAATATTTTTTTTTTGAGAATAATACAACAACATACTAATAATTCTTTTTAAAATCAATAATATCAGGATTTGAATTGATACATCTCAACTGAAGCAAACCAACTAACATATCAACTGAATCACCACTACAGCATGCATATATGCAATTAATTTACCTTCCATAATAAAACTGTCTTTTTATATAAATAATAATAATAGCAATAATAATAATACTGTATTACATGCCCCCCTGAAATATCAAGGGGTTCAAGGAAAAAAAGAATGAAAGACATGAACTCAACTCAGGCAGAGGACTCAATATCTATATACAGAAAAAGTTTATGATAATAGAAAAATCTATGATGCAGAAAAATATAATATAGAAAGAATTTTAATCAATCAAAATCTATCTATGAATTTTGATAAATAATACCTTATTTACTATCACGTTTATCATTTCAATTTATTTGTCAGTTGTTTTTCGGTTTTTCCTATATTATAAAATAATACATGTGAAGGTGTCAAAATCAAGCTACTCATATCTTGGCTTATTTTGCTTGTAAATCAAAAGTATCGACATACTACAACTCTGCCAGGAACTCTCATGTACATTTTAAAGCTGCTTTTTTTGAAAAAAAAAAAAATCTCCAGGAGCCAAATCAAAACTAAGAGTAAATATGTATTGTGTATGGGAGTTTGGATTCCTATTTGTTACGTTTTTTTTTTTTAATTATATTTCATTACATTACAATTTTACATGTATTTTACTCCTTCATAAGTTATTATTATTATTATTATTGCAAAGATAATAATAAGAATTGTAACCATTGACGTCAGTAACGTGATCTGCCGGAGGCTTTCATGTCGTTTTCTTGGTTACCGCCCCACCTGTGAATGTGGGTATACCATCACGTGGTACTTGGGTCCCATCTGCCCTGATCTCGTACATCTTTCCTTTTCCTTCTTCCTCTCCACTGGATTTTTTTGTTTTATTTCCTTCCTTGTGATCCTGTTGTCTTGAGGTACGTGTCGAATGTGCGATACCCCAAAAGATTCTCATCCCACTGCAGCTGCCGATGTCATGTATATATCAAAATGATGAGAGATAGAGAGAAAGAAAGGAGTCATTCTCCAGTTGTCTTTGCATCATTGGTGCATCAAATGAGACTGATATGGGATGTATCATAAATAATATATAATATCATCAGTATTTTAATCTTAATCAGTTGGTTTAGGTGAAGATGATCTATTTTAATGTAAACCCAATATTAATACATATATTGATCGATATGATTCTCTCATTTTCCATAGACCCCACCATTATTTTATGTCATGTGTCATGATGATGTGAAGGTCTCAACTCCTCTCCATCACTCACTGGGTTTGGAAATTCTGGGGTTTTCTTCATTTGTTTTTTCCTTTCGTCTTCAACAAATACCAGTAGTCGGTCTTCCCTCCTCTTCTTTCAATTCTGCCCACTGAAGTTGCATCTTTTGTTTTCTGATTCTAACTTTTCTTAGCTATGGTCTTTATTTTTTATTTATTTATATAATCCGGTAAGTATCACATCTATATGTTTAATCACAACCTACCACCCACTCATATGGTCAATGGGCTTATTACCTCTCCAACCTATGTGTTTATTCACATGGGTTTCAAACAATAAATGAAATCCCAAGCAACGGGTCGGGTTCAGCACGGGTTTTCCTAAACCGAATCTGACCCCAAGCAATATTAACCCGATCTCAACCCAATGCAACTAAATGAAGAGGGGCTGCCAACCCAATGCAACCAAATGAAGAGGGGCTGCCTCATATATATGTTTTCAAAATTAGATTAGAAAAAACTGGGACCGGTCACTTAACCGATTTTATTTTACCCTAAAACCGGTGACTTAAATAATGATTTTTGATTGTTTTTTATTATTATTACTATTTTTGTTAGAATGGGTCGGACCGACCGCCAACAGATTAGGTTATCAATGAAAATTTATGATAATTTCCTATTACATCATGTGTATGTTGCGTGATTGACAAAGGGTGGGACAAATTGATAAGGTGACAACTTGAGGTAAATGGCCAGAAAAAGGAGAATAGACTGTTGAAGTGGCTTTTTGAGAGAGCAAAAAACAGTACAACAAAGAGGAATTGAAAGCTTTCTATTGAAATATTGAAGCAAGGAGAGATCATCGGCCGTGACCGAACTTGTTTTAATATATAGTATAAATGTATGAGAGATATTCTCAATATACAACTAAATTACATGTTCTCAGAGTTTTTGTTTTCAGGAAATCTAGGTTACTAATATACATACTAATTGCATACAATGGTTTGCAATTGTTGCCAGGTGGATTCATATGGGTACACCGCCTATCAATTTATCTTCAAATATATGGAATAGACATGGATGATCAGTTCATTTATCATATTGATCTGAGCCTGGATAAAACTATAAACAACAACGGACAATTAATTACTTGTATGTTTTCAAACTAAAACAGAGGACAGCCTCCTCAAATAATTGATAATTAATTAACATTAGGCCAATTAGTTTTATTAATTATTGTATAATAAATTAATAATCGTCTTCATTATTATCATGTACTTTGTATATATATATAGAGAGAGAGAAATTTTTTACCAGCTTTGCAATTGGCTTTTTTTTTATTTCTTTATTTATGATCTCAAGTACATTTCATACGTCAAGTCGTTAAGGGAAGCGTGGGACTTGTTTCTAACGTGCGCCAAGGTGCTGGACGTCTTTCGTGTGAATTACTCTGTTATATATCTAGAAAAAAAAAAGCACTCGGATTTTGGACCCGTTTTAGTAGGACTGCAAATGTTTTGCTGCTTAAAGGTGATCCGATCCGTTGATATAGATCCCACTGATCTGATAACTGATAAATCTAATCCCATAAACATCATATTGGTTGTAAGAATTTTAGATATCTTACCTTTCGGTATATTTGTCGACTTATTAAACAACTCAATAACCAAATTTCGATATGAATCCGATGGACAATATCCCATTTGAATCGAATTGCAAATATAAACGAATCAAAATTAGATCCGCCCATATCAGATTCGATCTGTTTGCACTTTGCGGGTTGCAGCCCTACGTTATTTAGAGAGGACGTTCTTTCACTGTTTCAGGAGTGGTTGTTTAATGAATACTGCAGCATGCAGAGAAATGAAGCTCTCGGCCTCTCGTCTCGCCCTTCTATTTAAAGTCACAACGGTTATACCATCGATGGGAAGGCTACTGTCCGTTCGTTATTCGGTTGCTGCTCTGCAATCTGCATAGCCAAGTAAACGTAGAGACTTCTATCTACAGCGGCTTTTGTTTTTCTTCTCACAAGTTAAAGAATGGAGTCGAAGCAATCCGAGACTTTTGAATTCCGAAATCTTAGCTCGACTTGCCGGAATTCCATTATAATCCGGCCGAGACAAGGCGATTTCCAACGACACCATCTGATTCCCGCCCTCTGACTTCTCGTTATCCGAACAACATCACCGAAAAAAAAAAAGGTCTTCTATCTGTCTTGTTCTGAGTTTCTATTCTAGAGTGGAATGAAATTTTTTATCAACTTTTGATTGGGTTATTGGGTACTCGGGCAATGTTTAAAAAGAGTATCCAGGGTTGGAATTCTATGTAAGAATGAATATCCTCTGCATCTGAGAATGCTAGTCTTGAACGTTAGAATTTTTTCTTTGAATTCTCAAGGTTATTATTTTCTTATACTTCTGTTTTATTTGGTTAATATTATTAAACTCCGAGGTTCTTAACCTTTGTTTCTGGATCGCTTCTTGTTCATTCGAACAACGTTAAATTTGTTCTAGACGATTCCTTCACATCTAGAGAGAGAAAAAGGAAGAAACTCGTGGTTCACACACTGGGGTCAAATTGCAGAGGTAATGGGACATTTGTCGACTCTGTTCGATGGTCTGGCAAGGTCACTTTCCTTCAAAAGAGGAAAGAACTGTGGGAATGACGCTGGAAAGGAAGCTGCAGAAGCCATGGCTAAAGAAGCTAAGAAGAACGACTTGATATCGCGTTCTTCTGGAATTGTTAACTCTAACGGTTCCAGCAATTTTGCCTCAATCTTCTCCAAGAAAGGGAAGAAAGGAGTGAACCAAGACTGCTTCATTGTGTGGGAGGTATGGTTTGTATCCCCTTTTTATATAAGATAAGAAAGAAAATTTCAAATCATTGAAGTAATGTTATCGTTTTACTTTTTTCATTTGTGATTCTTTTCCTTCTTCTTCTATCTCAATTGTTGAAGCTAGATTTTATTTGCTTTTGTTGGTAGGAATTCGGATGCCAAGAAGACATGATTTTCTGTGGGGTTTTTGATGGGCATGGTCCATGGGGCCGATTTGTAGCTAAAACAGTTAGGGAATCAATGCCATTGTCTTTACTCTGCAATTGGCAGGAAACTCTTGCTCTAGCTTCCCTGGAACCAGAGTTTGACTTCGAATCAGATAAGGAGCTTTATCATTTTAATGTATGGAAGCAATCCTACTTAAAGACTTGTGCTGCTATTGATCAGGAGCTCGAGCACCATTCCAGGATTGATTCCTTCTACAGTGGAACCACTGCATTATCAGTTGTTAGACAGGTAAAAGGAATTCTACTCCTATAGTATTGACAAGGAGAACTGTTCTCATGAGATCCGTTCATGTGAGGTATTAACCTTTATTGGCATAGGATCAGAATCCACTTGAGACCAATACCTACTTTGCTTTGGCATGAATGCACTGATTAAACAAATCTATGGTTAAAAGCAAGCATTCCTAAGTCATGCTTCTATTTATTCCTTCTCTTGTTTGTGTTCTGTTTTATTTGCTTTCCCTCTGTAGCTTGTCTAGTTCTCTGTATTACTGCTTAAGAGGACAAATTAGAAAATGGAAGTTCTTTTGTATAGAATGAGCATACTAGTTTTGGATAGAGCACCGTAATCCAAGAGGAAATCCCATAAGAAAAATATATAACAAACTCTTAGCTATCTATAAAATCTGAATAAATTCACTCATTAGATGAAATGATAGATAGACTCATATGCACCAAACAGGAAACATCTCGAGTTATAGGCATCTGTTTATTTTCTCAAAGGGATAAATCATGGTGAGAATTTGTTGAAAAGGATTACAGGAAAAAAAATTATATTAACCTGGATCAGAAAGTTAGTGTAGCAGAAGAACACACATGTATATGTATGTATGTTTTTAATTAGTTTCTATCAATTGATCAACAAATTCTTTCTTCTTAAGCTATTTATATTCTTGAAACAATTAATTAATCCATTGCCGGATTTTTTTTTTTTCCAGTGGCACATTAACTTTTGGTTTCAAAATGTCTATTTCATTGGCCACCACTTTTATGGATGGTGGATTGCACCCAAATTGCACATTTCATTCAGTTATTGCAAGCAGTTGCTTATTGACTTGATTTCAACTTTCACAAGAGTCAAATGTAATGGTCCCCTAGAAGGTTTTATTTGCTTGAATAAACAGTGAGGAATTCATAATAATTGCATCAATTAGATAGTTCATACCAAATTATAATTTACCAAATGGTATAAAACATTTGTCTCAAGCTCGCTAGTTGGTCTAGGCTTCAAGAAGAAACTGTTTTAAGCTATAAGCAAGAATCCTAATTTCCTAAAATGTAGAGAGAAGCCACCACCAGAGTCAGTTTTATCTTCTTCTTTGAGTTCCTTCATGATACATATGCAAGTAATATCAATTTTCATGTATTGCAGACCATTGATTTTGTTTTCCTTTTATCAATTATGCCAGAGTTCTTAGGAGCATAAGAAACAATCCTAAGTTGTTTTAGTTATAAGCCATTATTGTTTCTTTTCAAGTTCTACACCCCTATCTTTGCATCATTAGCATAATTAAACAAGTTCATCAAGAAATGACATAAATCTTTTCAATGGTGATGTTTTGTTTAGGGTGAATTCATAGTTATAGCAAATGTTGGTGACTCTCGTGCTGTGTTGGCTACCACTTGTGATGATGGCAGCTTGGTACCAGTTCAGCTTACTATTGATTTCAAGCCAAATTTACCCCGTCAGTACCCCTCTACTCTTCCCCCAACATACACATACAAACATCTATGAACTTTACATTTTACTGTTCATTTTGGTTACAGAGGAGGCTGAGCGGATAACTCAGTGCAAAGGACGGGTTTTCTCTTTGCATGATGAACCAGGGGTGCACAGGGTCTGGCTGCCAAATAGTGAAACACCTGGGCTGGCGATGTCTAGAGCATTTGGTGATTATTGTGTCAAGGATTTCGGACTTATTTCGGTACCTGAAGTCACACAGAGGAGTATAACCACTAAAGACCAATTTATCGTGCTGGCAACAGATGGGGTAATGTATTGTACCATCTCTAGTTTACAGATGTTTTGAACTAATCCATAATTTAGAAAGATAAAGCACACAAAATCATGTGTAGGACATGAAACTTCAACTTAATTATAAATAAAAGCATCAAGCATGTGAATCCAAACAAGTGATTCTCTCTACTCAACCCAGTCTTATTCCAACTATTTGGGGTTGTCCATACAAATCCAAACAAGCAATTCATTAGTTACCCCTGCAGTTACACAGAGAGGCTGTTTCTCCAAACAAGCAATTCATAAGTTACAAACAAAAACATCAATATGGCTCTAATTGCATTGTAGAAATTCTTAGTATTAGTAGTCTTCTTTATACAAGTTTCTTTTTTGTTTTCTTTACACTTCAGCTCTGGGATGTTATCTCAAACCAAGAAGTAGTGGATATCGTCTCTTCAACAACAGATAGAGAAAAATCAGCTAAACGACTAGTTGAATGTGCAGTCCATGCATGGAAAAGAAAGAGAAAGGGCATTGCAATGGACGACATTTCAGCTATATGTCTCTTCTTTCACTCTTCCTAACCCTCTCAGCAGGTTCACCAACTTAACTGGAAAAACAAGAATGACAAATAGAAAGGTAGTTTATTTTTGCTGATAACTTCTTGGTTTATTGTAACCTTGTATGTATGCATGATTACTTGTCAAGCATCCAAGCCCATAGGTTTTTCATTGTTTCCCTTTCTTTTGCTTGATGAACTATATATTTCATTAGAAACGACTAAGTCACAGATGACTGCGAGAAATATACAAGGTACATGCCTTGATGATCCAGGCCAATTGCAAAAACAAGGATAGCAGAATGAGGGTATTTTAATTTTAGAAGAATGCAGTTCAACTGCAGCTAGGAGTCTACTGTTTTTTATCTTTCTGAACTCTATTTCAGGTTATGCTTGTCTGAACCTCCAAAGAATCATGGACCATTCATTTAAAATGCACCTCAGTCTTGGATGAATTCAGAAGAATTTGATGCATGGAATTTCTATTAACAAAGTACACGTCCTTCACAAAACTAATGCTGTCCAGTTAAAGCTGAATAAGATGCATTTCATGATAAATCAAAATTTCAACCATCACATTAAACTATTTTTTTTTTGTGTTTTTCAAGATGTACTTACCATTGAAGGTTTTAACAATGTTAAAAATTCAATTTTTACATTTCATTTTATCACATCATAGTTATGATTTGGTTCATCTACTATGGGTTTTGCCAAAAAAAAACTTATAACCAATTAACCGATATCATTAAAGTTGTAAATAATCGGTTGTAATTCATCAAAATTCACAGGGTGAGATGATCGGTCAAAGTTCTGCTATCATACCTTTCCAACATTATTGTATATTATAAAATTTAACTGAACATGGATCAAACAAATTGGAAATCACCTCAGATACAATTAAGTAAACAGATCATTTACCAACGGAGAGGTGGTCCGTTGGTGTATTAGCTGGTTTGTTTCAGCAGTGATGCGAAATCGAATCCCGCAACCACTACTTTGGGGAGAAAAAGGGGTCAAAGGGAGGTTTAGTGGTGACAAAAAATAAGTAAACCAGATCATTTGAATCTTAGATAATCGGATTGGGTGTTAGATTGGTCTCTAACTTTCATAGTGGTTATCAAACAGTGAAAATCAAACTACACCATCTCATTAATCTCAATATAAAAAGTAGTATAACCATTTTAAGTTAAATCTATCCCAATCAAATGCATTTTTCATGCCTAGGTTAATGTCAAATCACCTATATAGCGCTTTATGTGAACTCAGGGTATGTATGCACCACATCCACAATCCCAAACAATTCTACATTTGGGTTATTTGCATGTAGATGAACTGTCAACGGACTCCAAAAGTCCAAAATCTGATCCGACATCTGATGCGATTATCCCAAATTTGGACGATCTTGTTACATAAATGAATTGAATTCAGATTTTGACGTATGGTCAAAAGTCTCAAAACTATTGACGAGGTTATAATCATCTTTTTCTATATCAATCGCTTTGAAAAACTCCGGAAGTGAAAAAGGCATGATGAGTTCATAGTTTTTTTTTTTTTTTTTTTTTTTCTTTTCTCTTACCAAACACAAGACTAGAATTACCTAAACCAAACAAACACGGCCAAATAGAAAAATTAACAAACGATCAAACAACAGATAACTAAAACCTAATTAAGGGGTCCCGGCACGAATCCATCAACCTTTTGCAATTCCCTTCTAGTACACAAAGTTTGTCAATCCAACATGCATATGCAGTAAAGGTCCTATTTGCGGTTTAGAGGAGATAAGTTTAGCTGAATACAGTAGCTGTTCAGCAGGCCGTGGAATCAATAATAATGCTCCATTCAATTCATCACTGTAGGCCTGTTGTAGAGCATATTATCATTTGTTCCACAACCCACTATTAAATCTCATCTTGCAAAACACAAAAAATAGAACATGTGATATCGACTGGGTTTAGATCAAAAAAGACAATTTGCATATCGACTGGAAATGGTTAGCAACATTTCACGATTTAGGGGCGATCCTGGGCCTAGCTAGTACTTATAGTTCTTATATAAGTGCAAAGCCCAGCCCATGATCACCCCTACGAAAGGAGGGATTTTGTTCTTTCATGAAACACCATAAATTTTCCCATGAGCATAGCAGAACTAGAAGAACTCCATAGTTTCTGCATTTCTAATTTGTAATGACAACTATTGGTGGTGGTGGTGGAGGTGGTTCATCTATCTGTCTGTTTCATTTTTCTTGCGCGAGTCTCGTGTTCAAACAACCAACTCAATTCTTCTTCCCACCTCGACATCCTCATAGCCGGAGATACGCATTCGCTTTTCCACTGTATTTCGCAAAAGTAAAGCAGCAGCAGAAGCATAACAAGTTACGGCAATCTTCGCTTATCATGGCATCAGACGACCGAGCAACGGCTCCGATTGGCCACACAGAGTTAACCGAGCTGAAAGACGAATCGGATTTCGATTCTCTCGTCTCTCCCCATGGCTATCTCTCCATCTGTGGCTTCGGATCTCTCCTCTCTGGTACTTCCCTTACTTTTCTCTTCGTGTACCGTGTCTGTATTGCACACGCTGCGTTACACGGTGGTGGTACTGATTGTTCAGATATGAACCAGAAAGGAGTGCGAGGAGCACATTTCCTGATCTTATGAACTTCAGGGTTGCGAAATTGAAAGGGTTTCGACGCGTTTTTGCCCACGCTGCTCCCATTTTCTTCGAGCGTGGCATTGCCAATCCAGAAACCGGGGTTACAACTTTTCCCTAAACTCTCCCTTTCAGTGTTTTACTATATGATATCTGAATTTCCCTTATCTATGATATATATTAACTGAATGAAAATTTGAATTATGTCAGGAGATTTCGAGCTTAAGTGTTGAACCACGTGAAGATGAAACCCTAATCATCACTGTGTTTGAGATTAAACCATCGGAGGTAAAGATCTCTGTTAATTATTAAACTTTTTTTATTGTGTGTGGTTAAATCATAAATGCGAGTGACATCACACGTGCAGATTCCATCTTTTATTGAGAGGGAACATGAATTTCGTTTTCTGGCTGTAAGTTGCTTAAATTCTTACTCTTTAGTCTTCTACTTTCTTGATTTTTTTTCTTTTTTGGTTATTCATTACTTGATGTAATTGTAGTTAGAATTCACTTGATCATACAGGTGATACCTGAAACACTAGATGGGATTCCATTTACTAGTCCAGCGGTAAGTAGAGATGGATAAGCTTCCAGCGGCATGGTTGACATCTCGAGGTCCTATTATAAGTGAATGTTTATCAGACAGATCTTTGATTTCTGGTTTGGTTTGTTAAAGCAGGTGCTTTGTGCTCGCTATAGTGATGAGGAATATTTTCAAGTTAGATGCAAAGGTATTCTTCACAATGCTGCTAACCATTTCCAGTCGATATGAAAATAGTACTCTGTTATTTGCCTATTTAGCCTTATGTAGTTCAATTCATGTTCAAAAAACAATATTAACGCTTGACATTCACGCCTTCATCAATTACATAGGTGTCAAGGCACCAAGTCAAGGCTGGGGAACAGCAAAGCACTTTGTCATATAGAGAACCAGGTTCCACCTAGGCTTTGCCTAGGGGAATGATTTTTCGTGTAAAGCCTATTTTCCCATTTTCCCTACTCTTATGAATCAATTAGCTTGCTTTCCTGGTTGGTGTAGCAATTAAAAAACATTAAAAGCAATCTAGCATAAAAGAATTAAACAATAAAAGTAAAACTTAAAAGAACATTGCATAACCTAAAACTAACTAGGGAATGAATCTCTATTCTATTAATGCTGGAGGGGTGTGTGTGTGTGTGTGTGTTTTGAATCAAAGATTAGAAGAAAACATAAATATGAAGGGGCAGAAACCTTGTAACTTGAATAAGAGAAAGTAGGAGCAAAGCCCATTTTATGGTTCCCTAGCTCAAAAATCCATGATGCCCAGATTTGGATATGAACACAGAGAAGGACATGGATACAGGATATGTGAATACGACTCTCCGTTTTCTAAAACTCTGGACACAAAAACAGGTTCAGGTGTCTCATGTGATATGCTTATATCATCTGTTTACCCAATGCTTGAAGCTAAATGTCATTCTTCAGGACTTGTGCATTGCTAAATTTGTTTAAATTTCTAACATGTGTGGATCTTTTTTATAGTATTTGTTAAAACATGCCATTTTATTTATATATTTTAAAGGCGTTGATGTTATAAAGTACATCTGGAAGTATCCATGCAGTATGCCATTATCTGGTATTGTATCTGACACTGGTATGCTAGGCATGTACAGGCATCCGGATATCATCCGTCTTTCATCATGCCCCTTTACATCCTTTTACCTTATTTATTCAATATGATGTGGTTTAGCTGCAATTCACCTAAAATCATTGCAACTCCTATAAGGAAACACCAAAGTGATCCATAAGCAATGTATCTTTGCCTAGGCATCACCTCAACAATTATGATAATGAATATGCTATTGATTTTTCCTATACCATTAAGTCCTATCCTCAACTGCGTTTCATGGCTTCATTGCCACAATGACCTTTCCAAATAAACATTTTATCTTTTCTTTCTTCCTTTTTCTTCTAAATAAACACTTGCACTTAATTATGTTTCGTCCCCCCCCTCCCCACTAAATCCTGTTCTTTTTCTTTCTGTAACTCTTTTTCTTGTATTTATTCCTGAATCTTTCTGTTCCATGGAATGCCAATCAATAAGTAGATGGATTGTCAAATAGCCTCAAGATTTTGCCATTACCTCTTCTGCTGTAGGAAGCTATTTTAAATGTAATTTGCTCCTCTTTTCCCTGTCATTTACTATCCTAATCTTTTAGAATAATTGTTTTGTCTTAATATTTTTTGTGTCTGTTCCAAATTAAAATTAAGTGGGATTTTTTGTTCCAAATTAAGATGCCCATATATGTATGTATGCTGAAGCATGAATTAGTATTAGTTTTTCTTAAGTATGTTTGCTATATATTTAAATTTGATGAAACTTATGGTTTATAAAGTTTCTTTTAGTAATACTTGTTGAATAGCATTTTACATTTTTTATTCTTTTGATGAATTATCAAATTAACAAATTGCTTGGAATTAAGAGTTGAACATGCATGTTGAGGTCTCTAGGTGTCATAATCTACCTTTATAGCATTTCTTATGCTTCTTGAACCACACAGGCCTCAGCTATAACAGACTGTTATATTGTTTCATGGGGCCATCTCTCATGCAGGAAGCAAGGAAATCTATTTTAAGCAATATGGGCGGTATAACATCCATAAGATATGGCGGGATGATATCTTACCTTGCCGTGTTTATCTTCGACACTGGTAACTATTACAGGGCTTTTTATGTATACAATTCATTGGTGCTGTTGAAGTATTCTTGAACGAGTACGTGATGCATGCTGAAAAGACTAGTTTATTAGGTTACTTCATTTTGTCTGCACATAAGAAGTATAAGAAGTGTCTGTACTATGGGGTCTGTGACAAAGACCCCCTGTACTTTGTTTTACAACAAACACCCCCTTAGACAAAGACCCCCTTCCCTTAGCCTTCCATCTAAAAAGACCGTTACAATTTGTCTGTTCTCATTAACAACCCTAAGAATCTCTTCTATCCTCCATTGCAAAGATTTGGATCAACATGGTCGGTTGCAAAGATTTGCTTCGCTTAAGATATCGTTATTTAATTGGGGATTGGAGTGAGGTGAGAATCCTCCATGAACATTGGCTACCTCATCCCGTAGAACTTCAACACGTGGTGGAGTTAGACTCTCAGGTGGGCTCCATTAACGCTCGAATGCGAAGTCAAGAGTCAGTGGATGTCGGCTACGGTGAAGTTGGTGTCATCGGTTACGGACGAAAAAAACACCAGATCTGTGTATGGCGGGTCGAGGATGTCGGCTACGGTGATATTACCGACCCACCATACTGGATGTCGGCTACGAGAAACACCAGTCGGTGTCACCGTTTTTCGTCTACGGTGACGTCAGCCTGGCGCTTGACGAGAAAAACACCAGATCCGCGCTAACTTTGTATCCCCTCTCACTGGGAAGGGTAAGAAGAGAGGGGGAGAGGGAGAGAGAAATTTGAAGAAATCTGATGTAGATGAGATTAGTGCCGCTAATGTTAGTGTATCGTGGAGAAGATGAACAGTATTTTTTTCATCCGAAGGTTATATGGGGATTAAAAAATATTGTAACGGTTTTTTTAACGTAACCTTAACAGAAGGGGGTCTTTGACTCATAGTCATAATACAAGGGAGGTGTTTGTTGTAAAATAAAATACAGGGGGTCTCTTTATAATTTACCCTTTTATTAATTATCTATATCTGTTACCTTATATAAAACAGTTCCATGAACTTTTTGATGGACTATCTTCTCTCTCCATTTAGATCTCTAATTTTTCTTATTTCTTCTTTTATCATCCCTCTGCCCCCACCCATACTAGCTGTGCATGCTGCATTTAACCCACATCCATTTCAACCCAAATGCTGCATTTAACCCACGGCTAATATAATGCTTGTTGCTCTTTCCTGTGTTCTATACGAATAGTTTGTAAACATGTTCTTATTGTCACTTTGGCATTGATAATTAAGAATTTGGTTAACCAATCAAAAAACAATGTAATTTTTGGTTTCATGTTTCTACAAGACGAAATTTTTAGCCATGAGAATCTTTCTATACATGGACTGAATACAATTGAACTTCCTGGTAGTGTATTGGCAGCAAAGAATTGTGGCGATGTTGCTTATAACAACTTTCTGGATCACACTTTTCTTGGGGACCGTAAAACAACCATCCGTGAGTACTTAGCAACAAGAGGTTCGGGCATCATGGAAGAAGAACCGCCAGAACCACTTAAGGCCCGTTATGGTGGATGATATTAAGAAGCGTTAAGTCCAATCAGCAGCAAAACATGGCACTTGCAGAAATGACTTACATTTACTGTAATCAGACTGAAAAAGTTGAGCATACTGCAAACTTGGGCGGTGTTCGGTATTGTGGTGTCTTTGTATCTGCAGCAAGGTTTAAAATATCAATACAGGCTGATACGCCCCCTCGCTCTCCCCCAGGTCAGTTTAAGGCTGATTTACCCCCTGAACCAGGCCAGACCCCTATATGACCCCTGTAGTGAGGTATCATTAAGCCACTGATATGATTGGGATGTATAGTATTGAAATTTTGAACCTTGATCTACAGGGCCCAATGTAGTGTAGTTGAAACCACGATAATTTGAATCAAATCACATTCTGTAAGGTGTTCTATCATGAAGAATCCCCTAAAAAGAATGCCTAATGGGTATAATGTGTTCCAAAATGACAAAACCAATTAATCTATGGGATATCTGTACTACTGAACGCCTCCTAGTTAGGAACGTGGTTTAAATATACCCAATAGGCACGAACAGGCGTATCAGGTGTTTTGCTACTTTATAACTTAGTTATATTAAGTTTTTTTTTAATTGCACCAGGGGTCGGTTTTAAGCATGCTTACCCCCTGAAAATAGTCAAAGTCTGAAACACCTCTTATTTTGGGTTTCGGACAGCTCCCGATGAGATACGATACACCCCGATACAGGGCATATCGTACCGAAATTTTGACCTTAGGAACAAGAAAAAGTAGGATACTTGGCAAATCTGGAAATTTTATCAAAATGTTGGTGAAGTAGAAGTGTACGACTCCTTGTACATAAAATGATAAAATTCATGTGATTATCTATACTCCGAAACGCAACTCAGGAATATTGCACGTTCACATTTGCATAACCATAACTAAACGCAAATTTCTGTTGTAATTGTTTGGTTCTAGTAATCTCCCTACTAAAATTAGCTATGCAAGCACAACTAAGGTTCCTTTTGATTACGTTTGAAATGAAGGAAAATAATCATTTCTAGAAAGTAGTTATATCATGTTGCTTTACATGCGATGATGCGACCATAAATATTATCAGAAACCTTTATATTATTGGCTTGCTATATTAGTTGGCCCTAAATGTGGAAAAAGGTTTTTTTTTTTTGAAAAATCTATGATGCAGAAAAGATATGATATAGAAAGAGTTTTGACCAATCAAAACTCACCCATGAATTTTGATTACATTTATGATTCTAGTTTATTGGTCAGTTGTTTTTCGGATATCATATCTTTTCCATATCATAATCGAATCCTTTTATTTTTTTTCTTTTACTCATTACGCCCCAACTCCCCGTAAACTGGAAAATAAAAAAACTGTAATGAGAGGTGGCTAGGGGTAAGGGGTTGTTTTACATGATGAATGTTTTTGTTTCCATTTGTGTTTGCCACATCAACAAAAAAAATGTTCTTGTTTCCATTTGTGTTCTACAAGTCTCAACGACCACTCTTAGAGGGGCCAGACCAGCTGGAACATCAATTAAACCAATTCAACAAACAAAATTTTGTTTTAGATGTTGTCATCAAGTTGTGATTGGGGAAGAGCATCTAAGCCATTCCCAGAATCATGTGTTCCCAACCTGTTCTAGAGCTTACATCGTGGCCAATAGTGAGGCCGACCTTGAAATATTTGTCCATATTAGGCAAGAGTGAGCTTATGAGCACCTACTCGGACAACAGTTGCAGAATCCTCAATCAGTTGTTGCATGATGGACAAAATCTCAGGGTGAACAAATTCTGCAAACTCTCCACATGATTGAGCAATGCAGCCTATACTCCTCTAACATGTGATTAATCTACAGTCAAGAACTCCCATGTATTGAACCATAATCCTTGAGCTTAGAAAGGATGGTATCAGCTAATAAAGCAGTTCTCTGCAGAATGATAATTAAAGCCCACTTGTTCCCCACACCGTAGAAGCAATTCTGATTCAGTTCTCATCTCTCCCGCATTCTTAGCTAGACTGACATGTCTGAAATAAAATTGAATAATATTCAGTATCATGTACATATTGTAGAGATTGTTTGAAATTGGTGGTTTCATGGTCCAAAAAAATAAAAGAATGCCAAACGATAATTAGGGCATTTCAGGTTAACTTGCATCCATTATAATCTACTTTGTTGTTCACCAGAAGGATTTGAATGGTTTGCGATCCCTGCCAAAGGAAAATATTTATTTTAGATGTTACAAGGTAAATTTGATCAACCAGCATTTTTTTTATCAGTAACTGAGATTATATTAATAAGAAAAAAACAGATATAGTAAATACGTGGGAGAGGTAAACACTCTCAATTCTCCCCAAAGATCAATTACAACAAAGCCCAAAGATAGACTCTCTTCCCACACCTTTTTTTTTTTCATTAGAAAACTTCCATATCTAATTCTCCTCCTTTAGCAGCCAGCCTATAACCACTTACGAATCACCATCAACAATCAGCTTTTTGATGTTCAACTCTTTGCTCTTTTAATCCCTTCCGTTACGCCAAAACCCCTGGTTCTAAGCGAATCACCGGGCCTACAAAAGAAGGCTATAACTTTACCTTCATCAACCAGCATATTTTCATAACTAATAAATAATAATAATATATATTCAAGTAAGCCAAAGAATCTGTAAAATACAACGTGCATAGCCAGCATATTTTCTGGCACTCAGACCTCCAGTCCAATGTGCACTATTGTTTCTTTAGATGGGGAACCTTATTCCTTTGCTCCTTGTACTACTCAGATCTACCACATCATCATTTCCAAGACCATGTATCAACAGATCATTCCGTGCAGAACAAAAATATTGCAAAAGAAAAGTCCAACATTAATACCATGTATCAACAGATCCTTCCATGCTTCACAAGCATCCAATGGGCAAGCTTCTCCGACTGTACTTCCTTATCAGGAAGCAGGGGCGGAGCTAGGGGGGACCCATGGGAGCCATGCCCCCAGAAATCCGTACACTGAATACATTTTTCTATGTAAATTTCCTCCTTCCCCTCACTTCTCACCCAATGGTTGGCCCATCCATAAGTTTTGGTCCCCTCAAAAAATTCCTGGCTCCCCTCCGTCAGGAAGAGCCCTCTTGAGCCCAATAATGCCTTTGCGGAGTGATGCAGGTTGGGGTTCAACTCAAGCATAGATTAGACCCTGTACACCTATGGCTGAAATTGTATTAAAGAAGCCTATGCATTAATAATAAGCAGAAACAGAGAATTGAAGTATGGCTGTAAACCCATCAAAAAGAAGTGTTTATGGCAATAAGGCTAGCATACTTTATGTGCATACTGAATAAAATTCAAGCTTAACATGTTGAGGGCCCGGGAATAGGATTTCATCACGGGTCGGTCCACGGGGAAAACCTCATGTTTTCCCTTGTTCCTTCTTGCTCGTGATGAACCTATCTTGGCGCCTTCGATGATTTGTCCAAGAGATCACCAACTCTCCCAACTCACTCTTGACTGAATAATTTGATATCTCATTCAATAATGGGGTCTCCTTAAATAGGAGATTACAAGAGTCCTAATCAAAGGGAGTCTCCTTGCTGAATAGGGAGACTTCCAGTTCTATCTTGC